AGATGTTTCTGATGAAACAGAAAGACGCTATGAGTATCAGAATGCATTACTTTAGTATGCCATACTTGTGGTATTGATGTGGTATATGTCCCACTTGATGTTATACCTTTGAAATGTTATGTCACACTTAATGTTTCTTTAGACCTTTGATATGGTATGTCACACTTGATGTTTCTTTAGACCTTTGATATGGTATGTCACACTTGATGTTTCTTTAAATCTTTGATATGGCATGTCACACTTGATGTTTCTTAAAACCTTTGATGTGGTATGTCACACTTATTTGGTTTTAAAATAAACTTGATATGGTATTTCACATTTGATCTTGTGGTGTACTAATTGATGTGATCTTCCAAGCTAAGAATGATCGGTTACATGATGTGTTTCAAAGTGATGTCGCATTTTATATTATGATATGTCAATCTTAAAAGTGTGCTAATGTGGTGTCATATAAAATGTCATAATAGAAAACTCATAAAAAAATTATATTTTATTGCAAATTAAAATACACAAATATTGGGGTCAAGTTTAATTCTATATTTCGCTGCCATCTTATAAATTCCAGTTATACACTTTTCAAAGATAGTTTTGAAATGAATATCTAAGTTTCTTTATAGCAATAGAAAGTGCAACATGGGGTCAATTTCAATAATGAATTAATAATTATATTAGGTTAAAAATATTGACAGGATCCCTAAGACATTGATCAGTGTCTTATTTTTTTAGTTGAAGGGTGGAATATTAAATTGGAAAACACATGCTTAACTGGCTTAAGCTTAGATTAGGAAGATTTCTACCAGCGAATAAAATAGCACAATTAAACACCTTAAACTATATCATTAACAAGAAAAAATCAAATAAATATACAGCCAGGGTGTTAAGTCAAATCAACACTCTAAATTGCATTGAAATTACAATAAAATCTTACAGTTATGTCAGACTTTAGATACAAATATAGAGAATAAAGATGGACTTAGTTGACATTCTACCTTAGCGTAGCATGAAATCTGGGCTAAGAGTAATAATATTATACCACAGAAAGTGATAGTAATTGCGAGAGAGACGTACTTGATTGAATATCTTACAGTTCAGTAAGTTCACTTTTATACATTTAGTTTGATTGACATTTAAATGTTTTAAAGGCTGTATGTCATCTCCTCCCTCAAAAGCTTAATGGTTCTTGGCTTACTTTAAACAGTTTTTTTACCTCTCTTTTAAAGATCTTTTCAGGTCTAATTTTTGAGACCTATACTGTAACTCTATTTTTATAATATCTAGACCAGCTCAACTGCTTTATATATGAACTGTGCCCCGACATTCAATTTGAATTTTCATTGACTTTTCCTTGACCGAAGCAACCCTGTTCTATATATCTAACCCACCCACATACATATAGACCCGGAGCTCTTTCTAGGTGCAACTGATAATAATAAGGATCACACTAAAACACATAAATGTATTACTGAAGAACATTAAGCAAGCATGTTAATTGAAGAAAGTGAGATAAAACAAGTACATTTTGTCACTAAGTACATTCAACAGGACATTAAGGTATACAGAGTACACGCCGGCAGCCAGGGAGGGCACGGGGGGTTCAAGCGTACCACCCCCCACCACCCCCCCCTTGCCAAAATTTCATTCAAAATCATGCAGTTTTTCACTGTTCTGGGCAGTTTTCAAGTGATATTGTCAAAGTTGTCAAAAGTAAATCCCCTGGAATTTTTTAATAAGTGAACCCCCTTCAGCAAATTCCTGGAGACGGGCTTGGAGTAAAGTTATTTTCCAGGTTCACTCATACTAACGCTTTCTAGACATTTCACCCCCTGGACATTTCACCCCTAGACTGTTCACCCCTTAGACGTTTCACCCCCTGGACATTTCACCCCTTAGACACTTCACCCCCTGGACATTTCTCCCCCTGGACGTTTCACCCCTAGACATTTCATCCCTTAGACATTTCACCCCCTGGACACTTAACCCCCTAGACGTTTCACCCCTTAGACATTTCACCCCCTAGACATTTCATCCCTTAGACGTTTCACCCCTTAGACATTTCACCCCCTAGACGTTTCACCCCCTAGACATTTTAGCCTCAATTTTTTACTCCTACATATTTCATTCAAGTATTTCTCTTTGTTAGAACTGAATACCCTAAGTATAGAACATATTTCCTATTGACACATTTTGCTCAGCAACTTAAGTGAATTTAAGTTAGATGATTTTATGTAATATATATTTTATATATATATTTTATATCATTATAAATACATTTGTACACACATCAAAAACAATTGGATTAATTTACTAAATCTAAAAAATAATAATGAATTGGTTTGTTGCTTTTTAATAATGCAATTGATAACAAGGGAAGGGATTATCTAGGGAATTAGAGACTAGCATCTTTAATCAGTGCAAAGTGCAAACTTTTTTTAAAACTTATTTGTACCAATATTGTTGTGGTTTTATACACTATGACCCTTTCCAGTCAATGTTACTTGGAAAAGAAATCAGTATACATGTACTCATGTAAATTAGGTCAAAATTCACTAATATAACTGTATATGGGGGTGAAATGTCTAGGGGGTGAAATGTCTAGGGGATGAAATGCCTAGGGGGTGAAATGTCTAAGGGGTGAAATGTCTAGGGGTGAAACGTCTAAGGGATGAAAAGTCTAGGGGTGAAATGTCTAGGGGGTGAAATGTCCAGGGGGTGAAACGTCCAGGGGTGAAACGTCTAGGGGGTGAAGTGTCTATGGAGTGAAATGTCAAGGGGGTGAAAGGTCTAAGGGGTGAACAGTCTAGGGGTGAAACGTCCAGGGGTATGAAACGTGCCAACAGACCCAAAATTAACTGAACCTTAAAATAGATAAATTTCTGAATAAATTTTTGCTCAATTAAATCAGTTTATCATTGATTAGTAACTGAAATGACGTTCTGCAACCAGGATATATCAATAAGCACTGGCTCATTGGACAATGTTCAGTGAATAACACAACTGACCAGGAGAACAAGATAAATTCAGCATGTATAGGGAAATAATACTCTTGACTGTTGAACATCAACCTGCATTCAGAGTCTAGTAATTACTACCCTCCGCCTAAGTATAGACTATATGACAGTTTAGCAGCGCCGCACCCATGACCAGTACCCAGGACAGTGTGCATCATAAATCATTTCAATCCTACAATGTTGAACAATCAGTGATCTAAAAGTAATGCTTGCTCATTAACTTTGAGATGACGTCAGAGGAAATGCCCATTTATAGAAAGTAATCTGTAATGCGACAACAAACTCTGATTGGCTCAGTGAGTTCAGAAATTTATTGTAAACTGAGATAGTGATAGACGAAGCTCTCTTTTAAGAAACGAAGTCGAATAAATGCAAAGGGTAGGTTACCATTAGATGGTGAATCTTTAGCACAGACATTTTGTGAAACACAGAGAATTTATTCATTTCATTCTCATTGGAGTGCACTCTGATGCTCCCTGATGTGAAGTAATTGTTTCCACTTTCATTTCCTCCTGCTTTCTCCCTGCAGAAATATCATTTTCTTTTATGGACTCATAATCTTAAATTTTCAAAGTTTTCGTTATATCCCGATCATACAGTTATCCACCAACACTAAGCAGATTCGCCAAATAATCTCGTATTCATTAAAAATATTTGATTTCCCTGATTTATTTGTGAGAAAAGGATCATTTCTAAATCAGTAAAGTAGATTTTGGAATGTTATCATGCTGTTGTGTAATAGACCATCAAAAGAGAGATACTTTGACATTATAGATGTCATATTGACATTTCTGAAACAAGAATACTGCATAATAATAAAAAAAGTGACAAAACTCCTAATATTAAATTGAACAGTAACAACTTTCTTTAATAGATCTAACTCACTGACATTTTCTATGAAGAAGACATTTTCTGTTTTTCTTTATAAAACCTACCACATCACCGAATTGTTCAATAAATCAGTCACGAATAGAAAGTCACTTGTCATTATTCGCAATGATGTACAACTAATTAAATTTTAATGAAAAAAGGCAGAGAAAAAATGTCTGAGGCATTTCTCAGTATGATATTGTTTGAAACAGCACACATCATACTGTAGCAGTGTATGAAGGTTACTGATGGCCTCTGGGCACGGATGGAACTCTATGAAGCAAGGAAGAACACAGGACATTCATGATGTAAATGGGTTTTAATATAGTTCAAGTATCCTCATAATAGCCATAAATAAATAACATTGTGAAGCTACTTGAACTTCATGGGAGTGCAGTCTTGTGTACCGAGACATGTATATTGGACCTTGGAGCATTTTATGCTTCGTAAGACACACTGCTAACCTAGAGACCATATAAGTTAATACAGGGGTAACAAAGAAGAAAAGTAAACATTAGAATTATTGTTTTGGTCTAAATTACAGTACACCATATTTGACCATCACCTAGATCAGAGCTAATTTTCTTAAGAACACTCTTGTGAGGTCAAGAGACATCATATCCAGGGTTTGAGAATACCATGGCAACTGGTCCATAATGACACTTTGACGAGCTCTTTGAACATTAGCTCAATTTCTGATCATAATATCAAAACACAATGCAATTACATGTATTTCATCTCAAAGGCAATAAGATGCCTAAGTAGAGCCATCTTTATGATTACATAAAATGTTTATATGAATCACAGAAAAGAGAATGTCAATATAGTTCTGCCATCTATCTTAAAGACTAGTTTTATAACAGATATAATATCAGTTTTTAGAGTAGTCTTATCGTTTGCAAGTAATATATATATATTTGTACATGCAAATAACATTTTCTCAAAATCAATCTTTGAAATCTCTTTTTAATATGTATGAGAATGTAACATTCACCATTAATAGATCTAAATCACGTTACTTCTATTGATTTTAAATAGTTATGCTTCATTTAAGAATTATAGTCCATAAACTTCTTGTTTTGTTCTATGCTAACCAATAATGTTTATATTGTGTATTTTCAGGGTATTTCCCACTTCCAACCCAAGTGTGCGTCGTGTGGTATTGCCTCGATGTCTTCCTCACATCTGCCAGTATAATACACATGTGCGTCATATCAGTAGATCGCTACTTCTCGCTACGCTACCCATTAAAATATGGAAGGACAAAACGCAAACGCTATGTGATACTTAAGATATTCATTGTGTGGGTACTATCCTTTTTTATTGCTGGACCCCCATTTATTGTATCTTATATTCTACAGATTGACGTGTCTGATTATAAAGGATGTGGCCCTGAGACACCATTGTATATCGTATTTAGTTCCATTGCTTCATTTTATCTTCCATTATTTGTGATGTCATTCACATATCCAATGACGATCTACGCACTGAACAAGCAGAGAATACTTGTATCTTCAAAGCAAACAAAAAAGATGGAGCGTCTGAATAAAAAACAAATGAAAGTATCAGCCGCTTCAAAATTTCTTGTACAGAATGTAGCATATATGGATGTTAATCGTGGAAGCCTAAAAAATAAACGCAATGGTGCTGAAAATTTAAACAGCTCATTCACCGATATTACAGGAGACGCAATGGGGAACATAATGGACCAATCTTGTCCAGCAATTGGGTCGTGCCCTGATCTAAGCATAACATGTGAAAATGAAGCAACTAGCACAAGTAGCAATACAGATAATATGACAGTGTCTGAAGATACTACCAATATTGATAGTACTATAACTCCTCAAGCTAACGAAGCACTTGGTCTTCCTAAGAGGAGGCTCACTAAAGCTTTTTCATGTACAGACTTCGCAAGAATTGCTTCAGCCAAAAAAATGTATGCTGATTCATGGAATGATCTATCTGAGAAACAGGAAAAGGCATCAAGATCTAGAAATGTATCTTGGCTACATAGAAATTTCTCACAAACTGGTGACAAATATAATTCAGATGCTTATATTCAACAAACCAGGACTCCGGGCAGTAAGAAAAGAGGAACAGCCTCCTTCCGTAGAGCACTCTTTGCCCACCAGATGCAAACCAATGGAAAGATAGGAGGAATACATGATATACCAGCTATACATATCGAATCTAACTCTCCTTGCGAAAGTTTTCAGCATATCCAAAATGCTTCCCCTAAAAATCTACACCAGAAGCCAAACAGTTTGAGCATATCAGAGAAAAGTTTTGATCGCAACATAATGAAAAGTTTAAAAAGTTTAAGTTTATCAGATAAACAGGAAATAAGTTTGAGTTTAACTTCTCTTAGTTCAACAGATGGCTTAAGTGATCTATATATCAATGATTCAATGGCTTTGTCTTCATCATCTCTAGCATCTTCTGTACACGAGAGTGATTTACAGGAGACGCCCAATCATGATTGGTATGAATGGAAGTATGGAGCTTCACCAGGTGAGTTCTTCAAGTCAGCTGCATTGACTGTGAGAAAGCAAATCCAATGCGGAAATGTGTTTATGGATATACTACAACAACAACAGGAAGAACAGAAAAATCTTAAAGAAATCCAGCGTAAAAATGAAGCTGCAGCTAAACGAAATAAAAAACATAACCATGCAAACACTAAACCAAACTCAATCACTTATCTTAAAGAAGTGCAAAAGAGGAAATCAATCAAACTGAAGAAACACATGCTTAAAGAAAAACGAGCTTCACAAGTGCTTGGGATTATGTTTGGCATCTTTGTGCTTCTATATATGCCATTCTTTGTGACATATGTGATCAGTGGTGTATGCTCCAAGTGTAGACAGCAGCTCACCCCTCTAATGGTAACTACATTTGAGTGGCTGGCTTGGACAGCATCGGCAGTAAATCCAATCATATATCAAATATTTAACCCTGAATTTAGAAATGCGTTCAGGAAAATACTCAAATGTCAATGTAATACTCTATCCAATGGTTTCAAAAAGATCAATTTTAAACCAAGGTCTTGGTAATTAAATTGCAACAGATCAGTACAATGTACCACATATTAAACCAAGAATTTATGTCACTATCTGCAACAAACAATACAGTAAACCAAAACGTTTAAGTCACTATTTCAAAGTGTTATTGTAATATACATCAAATTTAACGAAGAATTTATGTCACTTTATATAGCAGTGTCATTGAAACTTCTATCCACAGTTTAATTGTAATATACAACATATTAGACTGAGAATTTAATGCACATTATTTTCAAGCAGACTTACATAGTAAGGGGGGGGGGTCCATACTTTGAGGACACCCTGTAGAATTGATGTGTTAGTGTTGCATAGTTATTATATATTGGCGATTTCAGTGTGTAGCCTTATCAACCTTGTTGATGGAATAACAACTGTTTCAAATTGAAACCATAATTTGGGGAATTTAGGGAAAATGTTATTTATTAAATTTAATGAAACTTAATAACAATATAATGTAATAATAACGCATTATACACTTTGGGGTTGCTAATGTCTTTTACTTAACTGAACATTATATTAAACAACAATAATGTACATCTTGAAAGTAACCTATGTTCAATTTTGACATGGGCTAAAACTTCTGGAAGATTTCATTACTGACGAAATATTAAAATTTATATCAAACTGTAATGCTTCACTTTCAAAGGTTATGAACAAACTGTTATTTTTACTTGTTCACCAATGTAAATAAAATAAGCCTTTGAAAATTATTGTTTTTCCGTTTATTTCTACTTCTAAATGAGACACTGTGCCCTGGAAATGATTAATTTGACTCGAAAATTCTATAATTACTTGACATTAAATTCAGCCAATCCTGTATTTTATCTCTACACACATTCCAATTACTGCCATTAAATGATTATTCAGTTGACTACCGTGTAATTAATTCTAAAATTAAAGTAACCTGAGATGTAAAGTAAGTCCTATAGAATGTATCTCTACCACTCACTACCTAGTCCAAATGGAATGATTGCTTATGAAGAATATAGCCATGTTTTGAAATAGCAATAGTGAAATCCCACATTAGGCAGTCATTTTGAATTTTCTGGAGCCCAAATTAGAAAAAACAATACAATATTTGCAATAAACTGCATGTCAAAATGCCAAAAATACATGTAAAATATATTTTGGATAAACATTCAAAATTTCAAACAGTTTTAATTACTACTTTGGTTAGAGATAAAAACTTAGATTTTCACAAAAAATCCTACCATTTTCAAAGCGGCAGCAATCTTAAAGAAAATATATTTTACGTAAACCTATTTAGTTATATATCTCCCTCCATTAAATAAGGAGATGTATGGATGGATTGATCAATGGACAGATGGAGGGCTTCACTGTATCCCTACCAGATCCCTACCGATGGGATCTTGGCTCAGTTTAGTTGTTTTATGTAGGTTACAAATACAAATAAAGTGATTCTTATGGAGCAAGAATCTGACTTATTTATTATACAGATAGGGAGACTTCTTTGATGGCCAAAGATTCAAACACATTAAAAAGATGGCAGTTCACTAACTGTAACTAGTGGTACCACTGGTGTGTATATATAAATGAATCAAACTAGTAGAAATTTTTCTCATCATAATTCGTCAATTCATGTTTCAATATTCAATATCAACAGGTCTAGGAGTTTTATTTTATTGATGGATACTGCATGGATACTTAACCCTTATAAACAAAATGAACACACAAATTAAACCTAAAAACATTGTACATTGGATTCCTACCTGTACAAAGACTTAGGTGTCATGCTATTCCTCTAAAATAATAAATACCTGTGCTATTCCTAGCAAACTGATGGCGAATGCTTTTGACAATACAGGACAATAGAAGACATTATCTAGACACATTATAAAAGTGAAACAATTTGAATTTTCGGAATAGTTGTTGAGTCATGACTGGAAAAAAGCTGAAAACCTCAATTTCTTCAATAAACATGGCCACCATTTTGAAACGAGTCAGCTTTTGAGACACCACTTACGGAGCAGTTGGAGGCTTAAAATGTTAAAAGACTCATTTTAAAAGTAAAAACATTTGAATTGTCATGAAGGATTCCAAATAAACTACCAATGAGTTGACAGATGGTCAGTCAGACAGACAGATGGATGGATAGACAAGTTGTGATAACAACTGTTACCATAAATAAAACAGGTAATTTTTAACAACAAATCTAAATGTAAAAATATAAAAATCTTTATTTGTTATTTCCAAATATGAGTATAAGTACAGGATTTGACGTCAAACAACATTTAGTCCGAATAAAAATACAATGTCCATGACAGTCCACTCATATCATAATGTGTTCTGGTCTGAGAATGGAGTTGTTTGCTGAAGCAAACACAATTTCACGTTCCAATGTGTTCTGCTTTATTTTCTACCCTCTCCAAAAAGGTGCAAAAGATCGAGAGCATCTGAATTTCTTCCGAGAACCCCGAGAAGCTCATCAAGTTCAGCATTAGCTACAAATAAAGAACAATAATATATGATAGACAAATTTTTTTCTTGAAGGTTTGTTTTAAGGTAGGCTGAGAAGTACTCAGGCTTATCAGACATTAACACATTAGTTCAAAAAGGATTCCATGAAACTTATTCAGCAAATATGTATATATTACAATGAAAGTTTGAAAACAACCCTACCCCTTCCATTTCTTGATAACAGAAATCAGGACATGGATAACAGTAATACTGTCACATAAGATATTCACTAAGAATCGTTAATTGACTTACTCATGCAATTGTTCACAAATGTGTTGAGAACAAATCCTTTACAACAGACAATTTTTCTATCTGGACATCCATTAACCCATTCAGTTGCGGGAACCTCTCTAGTATCAACTACTGACTCGTACTGGACCTCCATACTACAAATACATGGTCAAGTTATGTTGATTATTAACAATGATTAATAATAGACAATATTTCTATCTGGACATCCATTAACCCATTCAGTTGCAGGAACCTCCCTAGAATCAACCACTGACTGGTACTGGACCTCCATAAAACAAATGCATGTTTGAGTTATGTTGATTATTAACAATGATTAATAATGAATTTTTTTATTCTCATTTATTATTTGATGGGTAATGATAATTAAATCTCACATAGAGGAAGGATGAGACAGATAGCTCAGTATTTTAATGTTTTTGGTTTCATCACCATAAGGCTTGCATATTTAGACACTTACGCTGTATAAGTGGAATCCCTTGTGCAGCGCTTCCATCCTCCAAAGCCACATTTTCCTGATGTGCGACGGGTTTTGGTCACTTGAACTACTTTTCTCTCAGCTCTCGTGTGATACTCTTTATTGTAAACAGGGTCCTCCTTGCAGCACCAGTGACTACAATGGAATGAAATACATGAGGAACAACTCATACAATGATATATTGATTCACACACAGGATGTGGTATTCCCAAAGCTTGTACAAGAAAAAATGTTACAATACTAGTAATCATGATCTGCTGGTAAATACAAACATAGAAAATATTTGGATATGCCATCCCTTCATATCCATAAATCATCATCCTTCAAAAGTGAAATTAATTTTGTTTTGACACAACTCTGAACTGCTTCAAAACGAACACTCCATTGCTAAAATCTAGCTCTGTCCCAAAATAATTATAGATAAATATATTCATTAAATAATTCAATTGTCTGGTAATTTTTATTTTAGAATAAAATCATTATTGTCACAGACTGAAAAGTTTCAGATGCAGCTAGTCTCCATGATCACTAAATTTTAGTCTGCCAGCAAGGATGAGATTGGGCTACTATGACATCATCCCATAATTGTATTTTATTTTCTCTAACCTTTGAATTGCTATCATTTATAAGGGTCCATTCTGTATGAACAATAAAAAACATAAGAAAATGTCATCTTATTCTTTACGACATTTTATACTTGAGAATGAATCAAAAATACTTACGTGTTATCTCCTTGTGTACCACCAGCCCGCTTCATTCTTTTTAATCCCGAAGTGACAATGTACTTTGTGTACGGGCTCATTGGTGTCTTGTTGACAAAGTATTCAATAGCTTCAAGGTTTTTCTTAGCCTCTTCATCTGTGTATTTAACAACTTTTGAGCTAGGAATGTCCTTTGCAAAACCTACTGCAATGCAGCAGACCAGGCACAATGTTAAAGCTATGTTCATGGTAGTCATGGTTCCCTTTGAGTTCTGACAGTGGTGTGACGTTTTCTTCGACTGACTCCACTTTTATACCTTGCTTATATCACTCTTCCACATTTCTCAAAACTGGTGCCTTATCTTAACTGACAGTGGTGTGAGGTTTTCTTCCACTGACTCCACTTTTAAACTCAGATTATCTTACACTTCCACTTTTCTCAAAACAGGGTTGTTTACCTTCAGGATATAAGACTACATTTGTCATTGTCTCAGACTCAACCTGTCACTTTCTATCAACCATACTTAAGACTTATGAGATAAACTAGCATATGATAAGAGACTCTCTACAAAGGATTATGTTGTATGTACAGTTAAACCTGTTTTAGTGAATACCTCTCTCTAGTGAACACTTTTGTCTCGTGAACAACTACATATTCCTCATTACAGAAACACCTGTGTACAGTTAAACCTGTGTTAGTGAATTACCTCTCTAGTGAACACTTTTGTCTCGTGAACAACTACATATTCCACATTACAGAAAAACCTGTAGACAGTTAAACCTGTTTTAGTGAATACCTCTCTAGTGAACACTTTCTTCTGGTGAACAACTACATATTCCGCATTACAGAAAAACCTGTGTACAGTTAAACCTGTGTTAGTGAATTACTACTCTAGTGAACACTTTTGTCTGGAAGACACCCACATATTCCACCGACTCTTATAAAATTGCCTGTAGTGAACACTTACCTACAGTTTTTTTTCTTTTTTCCAGTATTTATTGCATACATTAATATATTACAATTAACAAAGTGTTATAATGTCAATCGCCCTGAGGCATTACAGACAATCCACAAATAGATGAAATACATACAGGCAAATAACTTGATTGGAAAAATAAGTGTAAAAACGAAATAGTAAATGTGATTAAATGAATGAGTATGGAGAATGAAATGATGATGGCGACTTGAAGGTGACAGTAGGACATGAAAAAGTTGTTTTACTAAGTCTGATCGACCTATGTTTGATGATTCTATAAAATCTGCAATTGCGTGTGCCAGAAATACGCCTACAGTGAATACATTTTTGTGGTTCTATAGGTGTTCACTGCACACAGGTTTTACTGTATATCATTTTGAATGTTGATCAGTGAACTCTTGTTTTTAAATATGAACCACATACCAGGAAGTAAAATATCTTTTAATTTATCTTCACTGATTATCATCTTTAACTTTAACACATATTTGAATACATTTCAGTCAATAATATTTTTATTATTAAAAACATTTATTATGATCTTCCAGTTTAACAGTGTATAATCGTCAGTCAATAATAACAACCAATAGGAAATCAGGAACAAAAATGAGGTTGATATAGGATATCATCAAATTACAAGGGTTCAAGTAAACAATGCAGACTGAATGTACTTGTGAGACGTATGACTTCCACAGATAAGTGTAAACAGTATAAACAAAGCCTGAGCCTTGCCCTATGTAGAATGCTGATTTCTGAGAACAACAACAGAGTTACAAGAATTCAGGCAAATTCAGAACATGATTGATAACAATTTGAAATAACAGTTGCAGAGTGTTTAAGCATATAAACAAAATCACACCATTCCTGTATAGAAAACCAGTAGTGATTCCTACAGCCTAGACAATATATTTTTTGGCTTCTCAGAATCATAATGAAGCTGGTGTTAAAGGCACTCGTGCTGGGTTTGGTATGTATTGGCGTTGCCTTAGGGAGATATACATGGGATAGGGAGGATGACGGGGAATCACAAGGAGGCAGGCCAGAGGGTGGGAATAGATACCCAGATGCGCCTGATGGTGAATTCATACCATTGGATAGAACAGCAAATGTGTGAGTACATGTTTTTTGTTAATATATAGTACTTAATTGTTTGTATTTATAATTATTATGCACCTCATTAAAATACTCAAATCTGATTGGTTAAGAGCTGCGGGGTCTATTGCAATACGTGGCATCAAGATCTTGTTCTATCCAGTATTGAAGCAACGAGATCTCCAATCATCCCGTATACCAGAATACCTATCCTCGAAAAAATACTTTCGACGAGTCCAATTGTCGATGACGTCATTTTCTTAGAATCTCTTCCATGTTGAATTTGAGATGAATGCGAGGGAGAAAAGATTTGCGTGATATGAGAACAGGGGATTTCTATTCAATTTCCTGTGATTAACTGACAAAATGTAGATGGCGCTAGATACGGGATCAGCCAAACTTATTATATATGGAGGGAATACGTAAGAATAAGGCCAAATGAGAGAATAAATGGAATTTTTGATTGTCGAACACCAGGGTTTTTAGGCTCGGTTTCTGTTTTAGTAGACCCATTCTTTAAAATAAAGTATTTCTCAAGGGAGGTGCATAATAAAATAAATACTGGATGACCATGAGGTGGATATGCCAGAATACCTATCCTCGAAAAGAAATACTAGGCTCAGCTTCGCTTCGCCTAGTATTTTTTCCTCGGATAGGTATTCTGGCATATCCACCTGATGGTCATCCAGTATTTGTTTAATATTGAGTATTGCACTGTATTATGCTATTTTCTTTTATTTAATATATAGAAGTTGATTGTTTGTTTAAATATAAATATTGAATATTGCACCTTGTTATGCTGCTATGTTTTTATTTAATATAAAGTAGTTGATTGTTTGTTTAAATATAAATATTGAATATTTTATTATCACTTTATGTTTAGTTAATGGAGTATAATGTTAGACGTTTGTCTTTATTTTATATTGCAATGCCAACAAATGACATCATGTTACATGCACATTTTAGATGATTCTTTAATCAAATCATGGTGTTTTGTAAAATGTAAGCTCATCAAAAAAATTCAAGCCAATTTTCTAAAGAAAAAAGTTGGGCCCATTTTGAAATGAAGGCCTATTTTAGAAAAAACAGAAGGCTTGGTAATTGGGGTTAGAAAAGTTATAAATATATACAAATGCAAAACGGAGGGAACCAAAAACTGTAAAGAAACCTATACTAGCAAGAAAAACAACAAGTGTAAGCCTATCATAAGAAAAATAGATCCCATATACCCCCAAACCATGATCTAAGAAATAAGGTCAAACATCCACAATCCCCCTTCTTATAAGATGTTCACATTTTGTTATTCAGGCAGGACCACTGGTGTTGTAACATAAGGCAAGAACCAATCGTCAAGAATGAGAGTATTCCTGTTGTCTTGACAACATTCAGAAACCAAACAAAATGGTACCGTGCAGGATATGAGCCATGTGGATCATTCGGCTGGGGCAGGTGCACGAAATGGAAAAGATTATGGAAGTGAGTTCTTTTTTATCAGAAATGTAATAAAAATGGAACAGGTCAGAATAGAAGGACCATTTAAGAAACAACTTCTGTGTATTTAAGCAAATGACTCAAACATTTAATCCCAGAAATCACTTCTTAAAAATATTGTGAATTACAACTCATGAAATTTTGGAATAATATTCTAGGAAACTGTTAAAGTTACATCACAAGAGACAATCAAATCAAGACATTGTGATGGTTGATATTTTCAAGAAATAAGCTCCATAGTATTCCTTTAGTCTTGGTTAGGACCCTGGACCCCTCCCCCAGATCTACTTCACCAGTGTGTGTTGTGTTGCAGTCAAGGTGAACTTCATAGTGCATAGTAGATAGGGGATGGGGGGATACACACTCAGTCTTGAACCAAGACTATATTCCTTCTACTTGATCAACTTAAAGTCAATTTCTATTTTCAGTGAGGTTCCCATTACATATATGGGCATCACATACAGAGTGACCACAACTCAGCCTGACTGCCCAGCAAATAATCTTGTATGTTGTCCAGGATTTGTCAGAGTGAACAGTAACTGTATTGGTAAGTATTACCCTTTATTAAAAAACATGGCTTCAATTGCCCTCTTAAGTTGAGAGATAATTCTTAATATCCAGTCTGAATATGCAGTTAAAAAATCAAAATACAGTGCCCTTTTTTTCTGTGGTACTAAACACCATCCTTAGTCCAATTCATTCCATATGAGCAGGGACAGTAAATGCCCGATCTTGAAGGATGACTATACACTTTCACATTAAAACTTACATATAAAGGCATAGGCATTTGAGATCACCAGTATAAGAATATTACAGGTTTTAAAACAAATGAACTCTCAGGAGAATAAAAGACAGTACATGTAATGGCAAAAACAGGGGGACACATGCTAAATTGTTGGAAATTGCAAATTCCTCAAAACAACCCAAAAAACTTGCCAACTGCATCTTTCAAAACCGGGCCTCGGTGAGCTTACAATCAAAGGAATAATTGAAATACCCTTGGACCAGGTATATGTCTGCTGCACGACTGGATTGCATTTTAGCATTGTTTTTTTTATAGTATCTATTTATTTATTTCCAGAAATTGAAGATGCTCCACAAACTAATAGCACATACCAAAAAAGTTTAGATGATGATCTACTGAAAAATTTTGGAGGAGGGCGCTAGTAAAATGCTAGTGCTATATACAATGCTCGTAAAATACTAGTGCTGAATGCTAGTAAAATGTACAATAGAACCATGGACCATAGACAACACAAGAATTCTCACTGTGATAATTAACCATGGACATTTCAAACAGATGTATCATATAACTTTGGGATGGTATCTAATTATTTACAGTTGCGGAAGAATAAAGTTATCATTAGGGGGATGAGGGGAAAATGACCATTCATGAAGAAAATTCACTTTTTGGAAAATTCGGCAATTCAACACTTTCTGATTTAATTATAATGGATGAGGGGGGAGGTTAAACCATAATGAAATTAACTTCATTTTTTCCTAAACTGTTTATATTTGGACCCCCCCCTCCTTTAACATACTGACATTGAACTCTTCTATGTCAACCAAAAATAAGGCTGAGAACAATCAAAACAAGACATTGTGTGAATGTGACATTGTCTCAATGTCAATGTCAGAAATATTTTTGCAATAAAAGAATATACTGAAAACCAAAACAATATGTCCTTGTATTTCACAGTTGCCAGTTTTACTTCCTCTGTTCTTGGGAAATGGGAAATCAGTTTCAACTTCCACTTAACCCTTGCTACAAACACATTTAATGATCTGTTTATATCTGATAACATCTGTGATATGATACACAATATGGCAGCCCCGTATTCGAAAATCCTTTCAAAATCATGCAGTTTTTCACAATTCTGGGCACTTTTCAAGTGAATTTGGGCTAAAGTTGTGAACCCCTTGTAATTCCATGAAAAGTGATCCTCATTGGGGTAATGGATAAATGACAATGGTAAATGTGGGTCAAATGTGCTGTAAAATCTGGATGAAAATGGTCCGTTGTAGCGTTGTCTCTGTTCATTATTTAAATTCAGATTCCATAGTCATTGACGATATTTCCAGCGTGATAATAGAGAGTTTAAGTTTGCAATGTTTTTCACAACCTAACAGTGAACGGAAATAGTTAAGCGATGTATTTGTATGGGCGATTGGTCATACCTATAGGTTGGTGTTTCCATTTTATATGCAAGCTTAAACTCCCTATTGTGAAAATCAAAACCTGGTTCTGATTATATATTGCTTATACTGTGCAATACTGGATATAAAAAGACCACCAGAGACACCTATAATTCATTTGAATTTTTTTAGTATACATGAAACTAATCAATTAAAGACTCTATAGATGTCAGGTGAGAACTTTCTTTACCACTCTCTGAATGCACAGAATAATATGTAAATACTGCACTAATGAAAAATCAACAATATTTATCACACTCAGTATAATTATATAGATTGAAAATTGTGAACTACCAAATAAATGAACTACATGTACAAGTAAAACTGTACATATATCGATGAGATTTTTGAGATCTTTTGAGAAATATTCTAATGAGACATCATGCACTGCTCTAATCAGGGCTCCAAAAAAGTCACAGTTGAAGGTTGAAGTAATTCTGCACTTCATCATTGCATTCACCACCAATCACATGGACATGTCTACTTTGTTCTTCAAGTCCATGATATAATAGACATTTCCAATAAACCCTGCCACCTTTTGATACATCAGCTAAACTATGGTTTATTGGCCAAATTGATGATGTCATTGGTTGTAGGTAGCAAGGTGTCCAAGTAGGATAAACTTAAGACAACAGCATTCACCTATCGCTAATTTTAAAAAGTACAACCTGTGACATCATCAATCTAGCCATAATTTCTCTTGTGTACCAAAAGCTGGCGAGGTTTATTGACAAAGTCAATGGTTCAAGATTTTGGTGATTTACATCTTAAATAGATGTCTCAATTTAGAATTTTTCCTGATTAAAAGCAAGATATGAACATCCATTCATGAAAAAAGGAAAATTCATATTCGTTAATTGCAACAAAATCACAATGACTACAACTTACTGAACCAGACGGAAAACTAAATTTGTTACGACAGCATAATGCTTAGAAATGTTGTTAGAAGTTGTGAACAGTTGCTGAATATTGACAAGCGTAGGCCTATACAAACTTTTAAGTTGTAAAAAGTAAAGTTTACTGACAGAACGGCAACAGGGATGAGTAACCCTAATTATGAATGACAAGCTATGCTAAAAAAGACTTTGCATGATTTCTGAAAGTACATAAGCCAACCTGAGTTTTTGAAGAAATGAAGCGATGAAAATGACACGTGACACTGAGGTCATGTGACAGAGGCAGGTGACATACAACAGAACTAAAGTAAGAAAAGAAGTGTAAGCCTAGAGTTATTGAAAGTAAATGCATCCTCTGCAACTCCAACTTGTAAAATGAACAGTCTTCAGGAATACAAGGTCAACCTGATATTTTAGAAGATAGTACTGCATTCTAAAATAAGTAATCCTACCCCACCCAAATATCTAAGATATCCTCCAAAATATGAATTCTACATTTAATATGACACAATGGCAGATCTTTGGGGGGGGGGGGGGGGGCTGGGGGGCAGGCCCCAAAAATTTTGAAAAGCCTCAATTAGTCGGCCTTTTTGGACATGTCATTACTTTGTCTTTTTGGGCCTTAATTTTGGTTTTAAGGGCCAAAAATTGTTTCCCCCACTTCAAATCTGGGACCCCTTTGTTAATTTTCAGATCCGCCCCTCTTTACAATCATTCATGACAACTTCAATGTCTACTATCTTCTTAAATTCTTCTTTATTCCAGTGTCTCAACTCTGTTTTCTGTTAACTTTTCAACATTTGAACACTGTGGTATTCCTGCATTAAGTAATATGAGATTTAAAATGTGGAAATGAGATGTTTACTGTGACAAGGTACATGTTAACTGCTGGTTCAGCCACCCAGAATCCCGATAAAAACGATCAAGATGATCCAGAAAAAGTATGAACTATTTGATTCACATTTACAGATTTCCATTTTAAAATAACTTAATCTATAATTATAATAAAGTTAAGAAGTTTGTTCAGTTTATCTTGTCCTGGTAAGTTTTATAACCCCATAGTTAAGCTCAAATCAGTATGTTAACATGTTAATACATTGTATACATGATGTTTTGCAAATGCGTGGAAAAAAGCAATATCTGTGGAATACGTAAAATATTCTACAGGAAAATATTTTACAGATATTCTACAGGAAAATATTTTACAGATGTCACTTTTTTTCTACGGATTTGAAAACTCCCGCCAATGTGAGATATATTGTTATTATGATTTCATGATGCTATGCTCACTCGTCCAGATATTGATATCAACTTGTGTTGTGGATAAAAGTGATATCACTTAAAATCCCAGGATATCCTAAATATAAGATAAACATGTGATAATAAAAAATATGATACTTGTCATCGCACAAGGGTCTCCCCTTTGTAGGGTGTGGTTTTCTCCATTCCAACCAGAACAACGGCAACGCCAAAGCGTAGCGAATCCCATCGAACATTTTTCAAAAGGGGCACCTTCTACCAAAAGTGTCATTAGACAGTGTGCCATGCTTATAATATTCACATACCAAATATGAACAAAATCGCTCAACTAATTTTTGAGTTATAGTAAAATATGTTAAAAAGGTGGCCATTTTGAAAAATGGCCGCCTTCTACCAAAAGTGTCATTAGACAGTGTGCCATGCTTATACGTATTCACGTACCAAATATGAACAAAATCGCTCCACTACTTTTTGAGTTTTAGTAAAATAAGTTAAAATAGTAAAATATGTTAAAATGGTGGCCATTTTGAAAAATGGCCGCCTTCTACCAAAAGTGTCATTAGACAGTGTGCCATGCTTATAGTATTCACATACCAAATATGAACAAAATCGCTCCACTACTTTTCGAGTTACAGGAAAAATCGTAAAATAACGAGTAAAGGCCGCCATTTTTCAAGATGGCTGCCATGTGCTTTTTTAATATCTACATTTCTAGCTTTATTAATGTCCTTTATAATTTTTTTTACATTTAAAACATATTTCTATTACAGTTTTACATATTGCACCTAAATTACTGTAAAATCGTCACTAAAATGGCCGCCATTTTTAAATGAGCGGCCATTTTGAAAATCGGCTTTCGAGCAGAACTTCTACCCCTATAGGGTATATGTGTACAAAATATGAATAAAATCGGGCCAACGGTATTTGAGTTATTGCCCGGACGGACGGACGGACGGACGGACGGACGGACGGACGTACGTACGGACGGACGTACGTACGGACGGACGGACGGACGGACGGACGGACGGAGGCGTTCCCTATATCCCTCCGAACTTCGTTCAATGGGATAACAACTATTTGACTTGTAATACAACACCAAGGATGAAGGAAAGATAGTTTTTGTATCATTAATTCAAAAAGTGATTGTATAAATACCATGAAAAGTGATATTTTCATAACAAAATTCTCAAGTGTTCTAGATTATTAATAATACTTGGCATACTTAACATATAATACAAGGTGTCAAATAAATATGTACTCCCCCTTAATTTCAAGAGAATGAACTTTAATGCATAAAAGTGGATGTAGTTGAGCTAGTCATCTCAAACTTCTTGTGGAGTTGCTCCATGAAGCCTAGTTTTAGTATGCTAAAGAACAATTCAGATATCTTGCAGACAAAAAAGTAATGCAACATTATGTGGATGTAAAAGTGACAGGGGAGAACATATTTATTTGACACCCTGTATATGGATGTGATAGAGGTATGTGTGAAAGATATAGTGTAACCAAAGACATTTATATAAGCCATCGTGCTGTTTATGCTTCAACGCACGTCATTGCAGACAAAACAAAACATGGAATCTGCTACAATAAAATCAGCATATATAACGTCACCCATGAAAAACACTCCACGCTTAGTAGATTTAATTAACCAATCTCCTCTACTGATAAACTAATTTTTGATTTTACCAAATCTTGAACTCCCTAAATTCCTGTTTCTATTGTGTTATTTCGCTTAGTTAATGTTTTCTTATCAATTTTTAGTGTCAAAACATGATCAAAATGTTATGCTATATGTATGGGAATAAGACACTAATGACGATATAAATCGGGAAAATTGTGAGAATAAGACATATTCTTGAATCAATAAAACTCCTAGAGGACCATTGTTTTAGACCTCTCTAGAATTGTTTGCTTCTTTATGACTTCTTCAGTCCATTGCAAAGCAAAAATATATAATGAATTAACATGCAAAATGTCACTACCTGCCATTTGTTACTAGCCCCATAAATGTGGGGTTGGATTTTTCAAATCACTCCCGCAACCACTTGTGTATTGAAATCTTGGGGTTTTAAAAAAAACATTGTCAGTAGTTGCACAAAGCTGAATTTTATCTCCGGCTTATTTTCCGGACAGACTGATAGAAGGATGAAGGGTTCTCTACACTCCCTGAATTTCTTTCGATGGGATAATTGGGAATTAATTAAAGGAAATAGATGGGTCAATCTTTAGCGACAGTGCATGAGACTGTCCTCTCAATGCAAAAACCCATATTCAAGACACAAAGACCAGAACTACAAGAAATATATTTCACACATTTTCAAAAATGACATTTCATACAACATTCGTGATGATCAAAATGTAAAAGCTGCTCTAATCAAAAAAAAATCCTTTAATCTCTGACTCTTCCTTTGAAGAGAAAAATCTGTATTGAAATTTGACTTTAAAATCAAATCAGCATGTACTGTCAAAACAAACATATATCTGGATAAAACATCTTGTTTTTCTCACTACTTTTCTCACTTACTGTAATTTCTTTTTATT